CTTTCTCTATTTTTTCATGTAATTTTAGAAAATTTAATAAGTGTCCACAAATTAATTGACCCATGGCTGATTATATATTGAAAATTCATCATATTTTAAATCAATTACAATATAATTTTTCAATTCATATTGTCTAATCTGAATATTTTAAGAGAAGATATGGATTATTTTTATAATCCAAGCAGAATTCTGCACAAAGTGGCAACAAAAATAAATAAAAAATAGTGATTAGACATCAAAAATAGTGCTTAAGCCTCTGCCTTATTCAATTAATTTTCTTTTTCCACTCATTATTCTTTTCTTAATATCTAATTTGTACATTACGCACAGAGATGCAGCCTATAAACTTAGCAATATTTTTAATATCTAATCTTTGCTTATTCGTAACCCATACTCCTATTAAAGATATATTTCCCAATTTAAAATTGATATTTTCATCACTTTTGTCACTCAACATATTTCTAATAATAGCTATAATAATCTTTATTCAAAATATAAATTAATTTACTCTCAGGAAGGTTAAGATATGATTAATTTTTAATTAGTAAATTATATTGGTTTTTTTCATTTAATATTAAATAATTACTAGAAGATATTACTTTTTCTTGGTTAATACTTTATATGAATAAAGAACCATCTTATTGGAATGGATTTTCTATCTGATTAAATTTGATTTATTCTTTTCCAAACTAAAATCATATTATATAGTTTACTTCAAAATCATCTAGCTTAGAAGAAAGCATCCCCTTTGAAGAAAAAGTTCCAAGTTCAAGTCTTCAGGGTGGTATTTTTTATTTTTACTTTATATATTAATTTAGAAATTTAAGTTATATTCTCTATACAAATTTATTTTTTTCTTTATAAGAGAATTCTTAAACTCAAGCCTATCTTGTATGAAATTAATAGTTAATTGAAATTCCCTAATTTATTACTATCTGTATTGGAATTAAGTTTGATATCAAATAGTCATTAATTTTTACAGCCATTCTTAATTAAACTATTCTATTTATTCTTAATTTATTTCATTTAATTTATTAAGCTAGAATATTGATAGTATATTTGATTGATTTTAACTAGAAATATGAGATTTAAACCATTGACAAATTACCCTAAAATAATGATAAGAAAATAATTAAATCTTTACTGAAATAGACATATTTTTATCTTTTAATAGATAAATGATCTCCTAAAATTCTCTTTATGGAAAGTTAGAAATTGAAACTAATAGAACTTTTAATTGAAATATTTGATGTAATCTCTAGATTTAAGAGAAAAGTATTGATATCTTAAAATTTTTGTTTTATTCTACAATTTCAAATAGATAATGTATAAATTTCTAGAAGTTTTATATTATTTATTTAATAAAGTTGTTATAAATTAATTACATCTTAATAACTCAAAGAATTTGCTTATTTATATATTTATAAGAAAATCAAATATTTAAACATAGTCATGTATATACATATATTCTCCTATGATATCGGTTAACTAACAGTAAGGGTATTTAACTACTATTATGTTTTCTTTCTTCTAATACTCTTATTAGCTTCAGCAAAATGCCGAATTATTTCAGTCCTAATTATCTAACAACTCAAATTTATCTATTCTTTATAATTTAATATCCATAAAAAAGCAGAAATATATAAGTAAGATTTTTCAGATTATAATTTTAAATGTTGATAAATAAACACAACCACTCTCATATTAAAGGAGTAAAAATATATGGAATTAAATGATAATAAATTTCTTAAGGAAACCATATATATATATATATGATTTGTTATTGTAAGAAGTGTAATATGGCAAAATAAATGTCCTAAAATACATATTTACGAAAAAATAAAATAAAAGCTCCAAAATCATATAAAAATATTTTTCTGACTTGAAATGTTTAATAATTCAATCGCCTTTTACTTATTATCTGAAACTTATTTCTAATCCAGAATAGAAATTGTATGTTATTGGAAATGAAATAAAATAAAATAAATTACAGATATATTAAGAAAATTAAAAGATCACAACTTCAATTCTTAAGACTTTTCCTCTGAAGAATTTAAATAAGATCTCATCAATAGAATCCAGGATAATAGAATGATCATAAAATTTCTGTAATTTTTAGTAAACCTAACATCTATTGACAACACATTTATCTAATGTGGATCTAATTCTTTACATATGTTAGTTTAGATGAAGGTGGAACTCAAGAACCAATCTTTAGATAATATTAGGATCAAGAATACATCTTTAATTGGAGGTAACTTTGTAACATGCAACTTAAATGGATCGGAATTTGTTAATGTAGACATCAGTGTAGTGAATTTGAATGGTGCATAACTATTCAATTGTAAATGGAGGAACATTAAAATCCATGAATTGAATAAATTATTAGATGGTCATAGTGGATATGTTATGTCAGTCTGTTTCTCTCCTGATGGAAATACATTAGCTTCTGGTAGTGTAGATAACTCTATCCCTCTTTGGGAAATTAATAACAAGTATTTTTCAGATTATAGATTTAAAGAAATTTAGGTTAAAAATGCAAGATATCCTTTTTTTAACACTCCTTTGCAGTAAAAGAATATTATTTAAAATTTAGATACATCTAATATTATGGTTTACCAAGACTTCAATTTTTCAAGGTTTAAGAGAGTTTTTTATAAAAAAGCGTTTCCTTTTAAGAGAATTATTGGAGTAACACTTGATTAATTTCAAAACTAACCAATATTAACCCTTAATTTAAATCTATTTTAATGCACTTCTTGTGTCCAATATTTGTTGATAGAGTTCTATTTTATAGTTTTTTTCTTTTTTAACAATCTTGAAGCATTACTAAAATGGAAATTAATTTAGCATATTTTAACATATTATGATATAGAACTTTTAGTTGCATGAATGCAATAATATCTTAAATCATTGTATTCTGTTTTTTTGGTATTATTCTTATCATAACCAAGCATTTTCTCTATATTTAAATTTAGAATGTGAATTGTACAAGATTTATAAAGCAGATTCTACAACTAAATCTTTCAGCATTTATTATTTCTAAGTTTTTCTAATCTTCGTATTTCTTGAGAGTCAATATATTCTAATATTCACAAAATAATATTTTCTCAACTCATTTTTAATTAACAGTAATACTATTATTTTTTATTAAATTGATTTTATAAACTTTAAATTTTAACAATCTTATTGAACAATTTATTTTGGAAATTTAAAAGAAAATACCCATGCATTTAAGTGTGGCTAATATGAATGCTTTTTTATATATTTAAATAATTTATCGTCCAAGGAGGTTGTTATAGAGAAGATAAATTTTATTAAGATTATCCATTATTTCCTTTTTAATTCTAAAATTTAGGTGCAATTTCTTAATTTAATTGTAAAATATAACCAGCTTAAGGGATATTATTTTTGAATAGATATTAATTAATTTTGTAAAAATCATTTTGAAGGGACCACAGTGATTATACATTGAGTAATAACTGTTTATTATTTGATGTATGTAAAATTTCACGTTGAGCTCAAGTTAATCATTAATTATGATTCATATATAATACGGTTAGAATAATTTAAAAAATATACTACTTTTTTAATATGTTTTCAAAGTTTTTT